GTAATTAGGCTGGACCTTACCGTGGTGTCATGGTTTGTGTGCCCCAGTGATCCACTGAGCTATGCTGGATGGTGCTTTTTGCACGTTCAGAGCCACTCATACCAGATTGGTCAATGGATAGAGACCAGACAAATCCAGCCTCCTGGTTCTCTAGGTTGGGGGTAAGAATGAGAGTGGCACCTTATTCCTTAAAACGGACACCTTGTAGTCCGACGCCAAACCCTCTGCCTTGCGGTAAGGTTTTTGAACCAAAGGCTTTGGTTGAGAACCCTAATCCTTCTCCTGTCTAGACCTGGGCAAGCTGACAGTATCCTGCCCATGCAATATAATGAATTTCTCTTCAAACAAATTAAAGATGCTCTGGGCACCGCAGAGGATAAACAACGGTGCCCTATCTGCTGCATCAAGCAGGGTGGATAAGGGTTTGGATGCTACTGCTCAAGCCTTCCAGTCGTCTTATTCCTCCTTTTCCGCTTTTTCTCTCTTACCGTCCCGTTCTCGCTTCACTTGTGGGGAATTGATCCCCCCCCCAATTCTTGGCCCTTCCCCTATCGTCGCCCTTTAAAATCTCCAGCGGTGTGAAACAAGAATGCCCGCTGTCACCTTTCGTCTTTAACTTCGCTATTGAGGAAGTCATGGAGATTGCGTTTACAGGACATGACTTAGAAGGTGTGGAGCTACTCCCAGGAGAACGACTTGTTGACTTGGAGTATGCCGACGATATTGCCCTAATCTGTGACAGGTCACAAACGTGCCAAGCGACACTGGACAGATTAGCACTGGTTGTCAACCGCTGAAGCTGGAACGGGGCGGTAAGTGTGGAAAAGCGTAAGAGAGGGAATAAGAAGACGGGAAGGCTTGAGCAGTAGCATCCAAACCCTTATCCACCCTGCTTGATGCAGCAGATAGGGCACCGTTGTTTATCCTCTGCGGTGCCCAGAGCATCTTTAATTTGTTTGAAGAGAAATTCATTATATTGCATGGGCAGGATACTGTCAGCTTGCCCAGGTCTAGGCAGGAGAAGGATTAGGGTTCTCAACCAAAGCCTTTGGTTCAAAAACTTTACCGCAAGGCAGAGGGTTTTGCGTCGGACTACAAGGTGTCCGTTTTAAGGAATAAGGTGCCACTCTCATTCTTACCCCCAACCTAGAGAACCAGGAGGCTGGGTTTGTCTGGTCTCTATCCATTGACCAATCTGGTATGAGTGGCTCTGAACGTGCAAAAAGCACCATCCAGCATAGCTCAGTGGATCACTGGGGCACACAAATCATCGCACCACGGTAAGGTCCAGTCTCATTGCGATGAATGTAGGCACCTTGACCGCGAATGTTTACCTATGGCATTTAATTCTTACCGTAGGCCCATTTTTCCCCCTTTTTTCATTCCTTATCCCATAGGTCATTTTGTTCTGCGGTGTCGATACATCAATGAAGATGATTTCCAGAATGCTCTTGTTGTGCCGTGTGAGATGATTGCATGAGCTCAACCCTAACTGGTTTCTGTTCATGTCCAAGCGTACCTCCTCTTGAGAACCCTTTTAACTCTTTAATGGCGCTTTGAAATACTATTGAATATCATGCTAACGAAGCACTTTAGCATAGTACAAATTTGATCACCTAGATTCAATCTGAGAATGTTTGGCTAACCCAAACTGTCGTAGTATATCTAAGATTTCAAGACAAACCTTTTGTGGCACCATCCTCTTGTTTCTGTTTCATATAAACTCTGTACATGAGCATACGAAGAATGAAGCCTGCAGCATGCGTCCCTATGACGTTGTAATCAATGGGTGGTACAGTTGGAGCCCGGAGGCCAGGAACCCTAGGTGACAGTGTTGCACCGGATAGAATTCACACGCATTCATGTGAACCCCATCCACTAGGCGAACGACACGTACCCGCTCTGCTAATTCATTCGGTCGCTTTGTACATACACTTTTACCATCGCCCAGTGGCTTTGGTCACTGCAGCAGTCACTGGATATCCGAGAGGTCGGTAAACTTGTTGGAATCTAGAAGAAACCTCCCGGCTGGCTCTGAGCACAATGTGACCAGACGGGCTATTAGGCGCGAACTGAAGCGGTGTACGTGCTGACAAAGTAGCCTGGTGGACCACTCGGGCTCTAGAAATGGAGGGGGCAGGAGCAGTAGGCAATTACCGCAAGCTCTTCCAGCTCATTCGCACCACTGGTCCCAGGAAACCAAGCGTCAGTGAGACAATCAGAGACAGCTCGGGTGAACTGATACACAATAAAGGTCGCCGTATGGCTCGTTGGGCGGAACACTTTCAAGATCAGTTCAGCTGGCCCCATGCTCCCGGATCTCTTCCTACTCTGGTGATGCAGGACGAGCCATGGACGGCTAGTTTAGAGCCTCCGTCGGAGGTCAAGGTCCAAAACACGATCACAGCCCTTAATCGTTTTCGTGCCACTGACCCGGATTCCCTCCCGACTGCATTATTTAAGGATGGAGGTGAGGTCCTCTTCAAATCACTGACTTCCCTATTCGAACGTATCTGGAAGAGCGTCCCGGCTAATTGGAGCGAATTGATTATATTGGCAATATACAAGAAGGGCAGTCGCACAGACTGTTCTAACCACAGGGGTATTAGCCTAACGTCAGTTGTGACAAAATTACTGGCCTCCGTTTTCAGTCGTCGCTTCACTGTGGAACAGGAATCTCGGATTAGGGAAGAGCAGACCAGTTTCCGGGCAGGACTTGGCTGTATATACCATGTATTCACTCTGCAGCAGGTGGTAGAGCAGCGCCACGCATAACGAAGACAGATCTATACTCGAAAACTATAGGTCGCGTCAGGGTCTACGGCGGCCTATCGGATAGTTTTCCGACCACAAGTGGCCTTCGTCAGGGTTGTCCGATTTCCCCATTTTTGTTCAATTTCGTCGTGGATTATATCATGGAGTGTTCCCTTGCGGAATCTCATGACGCAGGCTTTGAGGTCCTGCCTTGTGAAAGATTAGTTGATCTTGATTATGCGGATGATATCGTCTTGCTTCTCGACGATGTTGCGACAACACAATCAAACCTGAATAGGCTGTCCAAAGTGGTCCCATTATTTGGCATACTTTTAGCACCTTCAAAGTGCAAAGTGTTGCTGCAGGATTACCAGCCACTTTATGACCTTTTGACCGTTGCTAACGAATAGCTCGATGTGATTGATCGGTTCACTTATCTGGTCATCTGCATCAGCAACGATGGGCGCATAGAAACCGAAGTCATTTCACGCATTGCAAAGGCCAGAGCTGCCTTCCTGAGCCCGAGGCATCTTTGGCAACAGTAGGAAGTTTGCCTCCGTCTGAAAGGCCGTGTATACAAGGCCACAGTGAGGGCCGTTCTGCTCTATGGTAGTGAAACTTGGCCCCTTCGGTCTGAAGATCTGAGGCGCCTTCAAGTCTTTGGTCATCGTTGTCTGCGAAGCAGTGCTGGTGTCGAATGGCACCAACCTGTCCGCAACGCTGATGTCCGTAAGCGAGTACTAGGTAGTGATAATCATGCTATCTTCCTAGCACAACAGATAGCACTGAATAAGTTGCGTTGGCTCGGGCACGTGCTACGTATGCCTGGTCACCGCTTACCTAGGAGGGCATTGCTTAGTTTGCCAGATGTAGGGTGGCGCAAGGCTCGAGATGCACAGAAGTTGACTTGGCAGCGGGAAATGAAGTCACTGACGACCAAACTGGGTGCCGTTGGTCCGTCTCGCCTTCCGGGTTGGAGTCCACGTGACTCACCTTGTGCTTGACTCGGGGCTTTACAGGACATGGCTCGCAGCTGACACCAGTGGCGCGTCTGCTGCCGTCTCCTAATCGGATTGTCTGTTTAAAGTGTGTTTGGTGCTGAGTTATCTGCGGGGTAATGGTTGATTATGACGCGTGGCAGTGAAAGCCGCAAGAAAGCTGTCTTGCCGATGCCGCCTTATCTTTGCACGATAGCCAGCTGTTTGTGACGGTATGTTGTGTACACAAGTGTAGGCGCCTTGACGCTGAATGTTTGCTTAGGACATTATGGTTTTCAGGTAAGTCCCCCATCTCTTCCTCTTATTATTCTTTCTTTCATAGGTTATCATGGTTGTATGGCAGCGAAGCATCAGTTCAAATGGCTGATGTACTGCTGTTGTTGATGATGATGTCTTTGAAGATTGTCTAGGCACCTCGTTGGCAAGTTGTGCACTCCTCTCTCGACGTCCTCTGTCTTCATTGCCACGTTGTTTCGAATTCCATCGAGCATTTGTATTTCTGAGCACATTGCGACTCTTTTCGCCACTGTACTCTGCAATATGTTGCGTTATATCATCAATAAATTTCACCCTACTCGACACCTACTCCCTTCAGTTTGCCTAACAATTTTTTTATTTTCTAGATGACCTTGAAACAGGTACATTCGTCTTCTAGCGCACGATCTCTATTTGCGCTTTGTTTCTTTGGGGATCCCCTTTAAGCAGCTCACATCTACCACCGCCACCTCGATTACTCGCAATCTGTTTGCTCTCTACATCACCCCTTTTTCTGTCCTATACAGTGTTTGCTACCGTAGGAGCGATACGTTTTATGTCATTGTGTTGGACCAATTTTCAGTCATGCGTATCATTTCCCCTAATTTAATCTTTCATGCCTCGTTTCCCAGCCGCTTACCTGAAGTGGATTTGAACGCACAACTTCTCGAGACGGATTCGATTCTCTCAAGCTCCTTGTTTGATGAAGCTGTAACTCCCATACTCGCAATGTCATTGGAACAATCGTTTTAGATACAACGTTATGAGTTACTTTCTGACCTTGTGCTTGACTCCCTGAATTATTACCACCGATACGATCGGACATTTCTTGGGTAAGTTTTGTGCACCATCACGCCCATTATGTTCTTTTCGTGGCCAATTACTATCCTTCGTGTAAAACGCCCCTTTCTACTCACCACAAATCTCTCACACCGTCATCTTTCTTGTAGCTCTACATATGATGCATTCTAACACACTTTCATGTTATTTACTCCTTTAATTATGAATGTTTTGTTAGATCTTTTCGGACACTCTTTGTCTATGCATAGCTGCAGATTTCAGTGTGTCACATCTCTGTCTCCGCTCTTCGGTTAGCTCTGTGGTGAGAGCGTTTCAGAACACTACTATCAGACTCACGCCGT